GATAGTGTGCTGCCGAAAGAGTCCTGGAAACTCCTCCAAAAATGTGAAGTGAACACAGATCCTCGATCCGACACGATTGTGTCCGGGACTCCGTGGAGTCGAACTATCTCCCGAATGAAGATCCTCGCATAAGACTCAGCTGTATAAGTGGTCCTCACCGGGATGAAATGGGCTGACTTCGTCAACCGGTCCACTATCACCCAAACTGAATCATTCCCCTTCTTCGACTTCGGCAACCCCACAATAAAATCCATAGAGATATCTGCCCACTTCCACTCTGGAATGGGTAAAGGCTGAAGTGTCCCCGCCGGTCTCTGATGCTCTGCCTTCACCTGCTGACAGGTAAAACATCTAGCCACATAATCTGCAATCTCTCTCCGCATACCACTCCACCAGAATCGCCTTTTCAGGTCCTTGTACATCTTGGTAGTCCCTGGATGTACTGTGTACCGAGTACGGTGCGCCTCATCAAACAAATCCTTCTTCAGCTCTGCACTGGCTGGCATAACCAATCTACCCTTCATCCGAAGACCTCCATCTGCTCCAACGGTCCAGTCCACTTTAGGCTCTTTGGAAATCTCTCCCTTACGGGTTTGAATCCAAGAGTCCTCCAACTGAGCTCTGACAACCCTGTCACTCCAAGATGGCTGCACTGACATAGCTCCCAAGAATGCACTGGTTCCTCCAATCTCGGGTCTAAAGTCAAACTGGCTAAGAGTGATAAGGTCTCTGTGCAAAGAACACCTCAAAGCCGCAATCCGATGCCGACGCTTCCTACTCAAGGCATCTGCTACGACGTTCGCCTTCCCTGGATGATACTGAATCGCGAACTCGTAGTCCTTGATAAACTCAATCCACCTCCTCTGCCTCTGATTGAGTTCCTTCTGAGAAAATAGATACTTCAGACTCTGATGGTCTGTGAACAGCTCAAACTGTACTCCATACAAGTAGTGCCTCCATGACTTCAGTGCAAACACCACTGCTGCTAACTCCAAGTCATGAGTGGGGTAGTTCTGCTCATGCACCCTCAACTGCCGTGAGATATAAGCTACTACCGTATACACAACAAATGTTCTGTCACTGCTCGGAATAGTCAAAACCGGCGCTGTAGTCAACTTGGTCTTCAAAATATCAAAGGCCTTCTGGCACTCCATGCTCCAAATGAACGGTACACCCTTCTTCGTAAGGTGTGTAATCGGTGTCGCAATTTTCGAGAAGTCCTGGATGAACTTCCTGTAATATCCAGCTAAGCCCAAAAAGCTGTGAATCTCTGACACTGTCTTCGGTGGTTCCCAATCAAGAACTGCCGTGACCTTAGCCGGGTCCACTGCTATACCCTCTCTACTG